ATCTTTTTTTGTAGCGTGGTGACCAAATCTGGATGCAGTATTCCAGGTGCGGTCTTACTAAGGTTTTATAAAGTAGTACTAATACTAATAGGAATTTTCTTTATTGTTCCACACCGATAGACAGAATTGTGGCAACTAAGTACTCTACTAGCGACATCCGGCATATATTCTGAGCTATTAGGGAGGGCTGTCTTCATCCTCTTTCTCTCACATTTAATATCTGGAATGAGCTGCCTCTTATTCCTCTGGAATGCACTCTCCTGGGAATGCAGCCTACTATATCCCATCACAATCAATGTTCCTACCTGACGGTTTTGTTCAGGCATAGGTTTCATCGTCCGTTTTGCAAGCTTTGACCTATGTCTTCAACACTGCATGGCCTCCAAGCCTTCTAGCAGTTAATTTGCTAATGGGCAAATTGATGCATCTTCTCTGTTTGATATCAATGGATATGTATGAACATTAGGGCATCCTGCAGTAGGCATCCAGCTGTTTTACATAAGTTTTGCTGCAGATGCATATTTCAGTCACAGCAATAACCTACTGAAAGACAGTGTTTTGCTAATGTGCCCTTAACTTAAAAATTGATGGCACTTGGTTTTTCAATCCGCAGAATAAAGAATACAGCACTTAGCAAATAGAGATGCAGTTCAACAAATTATGATTAAGGGACATGATACAGTCAGTGAAAAAAGAATAATAGCGTAGTTAGCATTTCCTTCTAAAAATGTGGATATAACATAGGCTCTTTACCGTGAGTTAAATATAACCCTAACCTTAACCCAATCTAAAGAAAATATCAAGCTGGCATGAGTCTATGTGTGACATTTGTTGTGTGGATAGATCTTGTGTTGCAAGATTTTGGCTGAATGTTGGGAGAAATTCTTGGTCCAAAGTGGTTCGTTATTGGAATGAATTACCCAGTGGTGATGGATTTGAGTTCTTCCAGTATTGATAAAGGAGAATATTTGTAGCTCAGAGTTGACATGAGAGCCCTTGTTGCTCTCTGAGCTTGGTTGTTTTCTTGCAGATCTTTCATTACCCAAACCAAGTAACATCATCAGAGCATTGATGATGTTACATCTGCAAGAAAGCAACCATGCTCAGAGAGCAACAAGGTCCTCTCAGCATCCTTCACTTTATCCATGGTAGTGGATTCATCTGGACCTAGAGAGAATTTCTCATTCGTTCATTCATTCATTCACAGAGGATTTCCCATTTATTTATCAATCAAATGTATATGGCCACCCATCTCACACGAAGTGACTCTGGGCAGCATACACTTGCAATAAAACTCAACAAACTACAGGTAGTCCTTGACTTACGATCACAGTTGGTGACCAGAACTGTTGCTAAGAAAAGTGGCTGTTAAGTGAGTTGTGCCTCATTTTATGACCTTTTTTGCTATGGTTGTTAAGCAAATCATTGCAGCTGTTAAGTGAATCATGCAGTCGTTAAGTGTATCTGGCTTCCCCCATTAACTTTGCTCGTCAGAAACTTGCTGGCCTGGTCGCAAATGGCAATCACAATGACTCCGGGATGCCGCAACAGTTGTAAATACATGTCGGTTACCAAGCAAGCAAATTTTGATAAGATGACCGTGGGGAGGCTGCAGTGGTTGTAAGTGTGAGGACTGGCTGTAAATCACTTTTTTCAGTGCTGTTCTAACTTTGAATAGTTGTTAAGCAAATTCTTGTAAATTGAGGACTACCCATAAAACATTATACAAAAGCCATTTAAAATAGTTAAATATGAATAAAAAAACAAGGTGACAAAAGGGAACATATCAGATTATTATACATGATGCAGCCCACACGTGGGCTCTCTGTTGGCGGGTGATCCCCAGCCTTCCTGAAAAAGTCATGTTTTAAGGAATTTCTGGAAGGGTTGGGGCCAATCTCACAGGGGGGAGGGGAGATTTGATGTCCAAAGGTTGGATACCAGAGGCCAGTATCTACCAAACAGGTTCACGCTAAATACCAAATCCAAATACTCCATGCTAGGGCTTAACATAGATCTCTAAAAACATAAATTCTTGCAAATGTTGGGTTCCATTTAAAAGCATATGCAGTATTCCGATATTTTCACAAATTAACAAGGTACACGTTTTGCCCTAAACAGAAAAATTGTAAAAAGGAGTTGGTTTGGAAGTAAAATGTGACATGAATTTACAAAGCTGGTATGGATTTAAGGGCTCAACTAATTATTGTGTTCATGGATTTGTTGGTATGAAAGAAGAAAAGTATCCCTGTTTATAATGTCACGGGAAACTGTACACTCTCTGTAACTAGATCAGATGTAAGGGTGTAGGTCTATACATATGTTGTATATATAGTATGTTTAAATGTGTGTTATGTATGTGTACACTTTGAGAGCAAGCAACTAAATTTCATTTTTAATGTGTGCCATTGTGCTCACAGTAAAAAAATGACAATGAAGGTTGTCTGTCTGTCTGTCTATCTGTTTGTCTGTCTATCTATCTATCTATCTATCTATCTATCTATCTATCTATCTATCTATCTATCTATCTATCTATCTATCTATCTATCTATCTATCTATCTATCTATCTATCTATCTATCATGTAAAGTTATTCACTATAAAATGTGTCCAAACCATGTGATAGAAAACACAGCAACTCTGAGTTCACACTACACCAGGCTAAAATGGGTTTTGGTAATGCGTGATCTATTGTGCTGCAAGAGCACAATTCTTTTCTTCACATTTGATTGGAACCAAGGCATTATGTTAATCCATAGTATGGTTTATTTGGTTAAAACATATCAGCACAGCAATTCTTGTTTCATTATCCTGCTTTAGGCTGTTATCTGAATCTGTCCAGAGTGTCAGCAATCATAGATTATATTGTGCAATCATATTGCTTGATTTATGGGGCCCAGATACCACTACCCTCTCTTACAACTTTTCTCTATTTTCCTCTGTCATTTCCATTTTTTTTCTCATCGTTCACAAAATCCATTAAATAGAGAAAGATGGAATATCTTTACAGTGACTTATGACTGATAGCACTTACTGCTTGTTATTTAAAAGCACATGCTCACTCCCAACATTACTTTATGCTCGTTAATGACTTTAATCTACTTTGTATTAATATTAATACCTGGCCTTCTCTAAAATAAGCCTGCAGTCATCTCAGCGATGTCCATAACAAGATCATATGTGGTCCAGCAATTAATTAATTAGACTTAAATAGCATCATAGGCACATGACAGCTGGAAACTTCAAGAGACAGAAAGACAGAAAGTTGTGCAAGAGAATTGGAGTGAGAAGAAATGTGCCAGTTTGTTTGTTTTTTTTCTCTACTACAGAAGAGACTGTGCAGGTTTTAAACAGCAGCAATAGGAGGCGGTAAATAGAATGATTCGTGGAGATTATTTTCACTGTCCTGGGAAAATAATACTTAATTGGGTTGCGTTCACTCAGCATCACTACATACTTTGGGAATGAGCCTAAAACTATTTTCACTAAAGGCCTACCAAGCTTATTAGATTTATATTCTGGCATTCCTCCCAGAACTCAAGAAAGTCTACGTATCTAGCTTTCTCTCCAATTCTTGCTCACAGCCACAATCCTGTGAGGCAGGTTTTGCTGAGAGACAAGGACTGACCTCAAGTCCATCAGTGTACTTCATAGTGGAGATGGGTTTGATCCTTGATATTTACTGCAGCAAAATATATGGGGAGCTAGAATCTCCTAGGACAGGAGTGCTGACAATGTAAATAATCCACTGTGACCTTGCACAGAGATGGGAAGCATAAAGGAGGGCATCCTCTCTAAGCTGTGAAAAAGGAGGGAGGACGTTGAAGGTTATAACATGGTTGCAGCAACCACAACTGTCAGAAGACAATTAACTGCTGGGTTCTAGTGAGCAATAAAGATTCTGCACTGGCTGTGCTGGAATGGAAGTGTGGGAGACTTTAGCTTAGGTGTAACCAGATGAAAAAGAGGAGATTCTGACCTTGAACACTAAACCACACTTTTGGTGATGCGCAGGCTAAAGTTATTCCTGGACAAGGATAGAGTCATCAGGCTGATGCAATAGATGTGTCAGTTTTGATGGGGGAATTGCTTAATGCATGATTTGAAAACTGCAGTGAATGCAACAAACAACAGCAAGTGAGATGGCTAGCTGCTATCATAAAATACCACTGATTGCCATTTGGTTCCTGGGCTAATTGAAACCTCAGGAAGATTTACAGTATATACCGGTAAGAGAACCCCTATAGTCAGCAGTTTCTGCAAAATTGGATTACTGTGTCAAAATTGGCAAGATGGCAAATGGAGTATCACAAAAAAAGTCCATCAGTTTGCACTGACTCTGTGTCAGTGACTCTGCCATTTTGCTGACTTTGATGCACAGAGCCTTGGAAGTGGCTATCCATGGGAGATACGTTTGATGTCAACCAGGAAGAAGGTTTTCTGCATTGTTTTGTAAGTTGTTTGGCACGTACATCATGTTGAACACTTTTATATTCATCTCAGCATCTGAGAGTTTGTGACAGAGCTGCCACACGAATGGATGTCCACCAATTAGGTTGGTTTTTGCTGACATGGAGGCCCCATGTCACTATACCAAATTATGCCAAGGCCTGTGATTGCTCTTTTATTTTCTGTCTCTTGGGAGTGTCAGTCTTACCCAATGTCATATTGGGCATTATTTATGACGCAGGGAAGACTTAACTGGTGCCTCCTAATTATAGCTGAACTCTAATCCCCAGAAGGCCCAGCCAACATAGCTAATAATCAGGGATCCAGAGAGTACCATAGTAGGTTTCCAGCTCTGCTCAAAAGCATTGGAATCATGCATGTGGGTATTTGGGGTGTGTTTTTATGTTTGGCGTGAGTGAGTGAGTGAGTGAGTGAGTGAGTGAGTGAGTGAGTGAGTGAGTGAATGAATGAATGAATGAATGCCATTAACTCCCAATTGGGGGAAGCGCTACTAGTCTTCGCATAATTAGAAATTGTGTTTCATCCTACCAGATACAACTGATGACCACACATTACTATGGTTGTTGAACCACATCCGTTTGGGAATCCCAGAGCTCATCATCCAGATTCGGCACCACAAGCACACCCGGGTCTATGCATTTTTTGTCACAGCAACTTATGAAAGGTAAATCCTCTTGGAGGTTGGCAAGAGGGAAAGATGGGCAAGCTGTCAGCAATAGATGGGCAAAAAAGACTTAGACAGCCCAGTACAGTGATGACGAACCTTTTAGAGACCGAGTGCCCCAAAACTGGCCGCGCCCCCGTTCCACCCCCCTATCCCCCATCCCGCCTGCCCGCAGGGCCACTCACCGCCTCCAGGGCCCGCCGCAGATCATCCAGGCAGCCCAGCAGCGCTATGGCGGTCACCCCCTCTGCCCGCGCCCTGCAGCATCAACTGTGCATGATGCGGTGTGAGGGCAGAGTCTTGTCTACGCTGCCTGGCTGCCATGTCCTTGGCTGTGCTGCTCCGCGTGGGCCACGCTCAGGGGCGACTCTCCTTCACGGGGGCTGCTGGAGAGGAGGGGGTTTCAGGGGAGGGGAGGCTGGGGCAACGGCATGTGTGCCCACAGAGAGGGCTTCGAGTGCTGCCTCTGGCACCCGTGCCATAGGTTCGCCACCACTGGCCTAGTAATTTAACTACTGCTGGAGGAGGCACTAGATTAGAAGGGTAGTCTAAAGCAGGGTTTCTCAGCCTTTGAGCATGCTGGCTGGAGAATTCTGGGAGTTGATGTTCAAATATCCTAAAGTTGATAAGCTTGAGAAACATTGCTTTAAAGACTTGGAGATGGAGCAAAACTATGAAAATGGATATATTTTCCAATATTACATGGTACAGGCGTATATAGAATCAGACTACAGGTAGTCCTCGATTTACAACCATAACCGGGCCCCAAATTTCTGTCGCTAAGTGAAACATTTGTTAAGTGAATTTTGCCCCATTTTATGAAGTGTCTTGCCACAGTTGTTAAGTGAATCACTGCAATTGTTAAGTTAGTAACATAGGAATCTGGCTTCCCCATTGACTTTTCTTGTCAGAAGGTAGCCAGAGATGATCACATGATCCTGGGACACTGCAACCGTCATAAATATGAGTCAGTTGCCACATGTCTGAATTTTGATCACATGACCATGGGAATGTCACAACGGTTGTAAGTGTGAAAAACGGTCATAAGTCACTTTTTTCAGTGCTGTTGTAGCTTTGAATGGTCACTAAAGGAACTGTTGTAAGTTGAGGACTACCTGTAATAGTCCATTTGAGCCAGGATTATTTTCTCTAACGTCAACAAATCTCAAGGGTCTCGGGAGACAGTTTTTGTACTATCACCTTTTAATTTGGAGAGCTTGGAGTTGAACCCAAGAGCTTATGCATGCAAAATTAGAATAGAATAGAATAGAATAGAATAGAATAGAATAGAATAGAATAGAATAGAATAGAATAGAATAATGGAATGGGAACAGAATAGAATAGAATAGAATAGAATAGAATAGAATAGAATAGAATAGAATAGAATAGAATAGAATAGAATAGAATAGAATAGAATAATGGAATGGGAATAGAATAGAATAGAATAGAATAGAATAGAATAGAATAGAATAGAATAGAATAGAATAGAATAGAATAATGGAATGGGAATAGAATAGAATAGAATAGAATAGAATAGAATAGAATAGAATAGAATAGAATAGAATAGAATAGAATAGAATAGAGCTGGAAGGGACCTTGGAGGTCTTCTAGTCCAGTCCCCCATTCAAGCAGGAGAACCTATACCATCTCAGACAAGTGACTGTGAGACTTACAGAAAAGATGGCTGAAAATACATTTCTTCCTGGTCTTTTAATGTAGGACAGTGTCAGGCCCAAACCCAGAGATGACACAGCAAAATCCTATTGAGTTTCACGCTTTATTTGCTTATACCTAATTGACAGCATTGTCCCAAACAAAGCTATAAGCAGTCCTCTTTTAAAACCATTCATTTAGTGAATATTCAAAATTACAAGGACACTGAAAAAAGTGACTTATGACCAGTACTCACACTTACGACTGTAACAGCATTCCCATGATCAAATTCTGGTTGCTTGGCAACCAGCATGTATTTATGATGATTGCGGCATCTCAGGGTCATGTGATCACCATTCATTACCTTCCCTGTTGGCTTCCAACAAGAAAGTCAATGGGGGAACCAGCTTTGCTTAACAACTACATGATTCACTTAACAACCATGGCAAAAAAAGTCATCAAATTGGGTGTGACTCACTTAACTATTGCCTTAACAATGGAAATTCTGGTCCCAATTGTGCCGTATGTCAAGAACTACCTGTGTAACCTTCTGCTCTGTTAGATATATCCTGAGAGATTATCTAGGGTGTAGCTATCCTCCCCATAAGAGACTCCACAGTTTCTCTGAGAAAGCTGGAACTTTTTAAGAAGCGATTGGACACACATTTGTCTGAAATGGTATATAGCAGAGGTGGCGAACCTATGGCACGGGTGCCAGAGGTGGCACTGAGAGCCCTCTCTGTAGGCACGCACGCCATCGCCCCAGTCCTAGGCCTTCAGCTGGGTTTTATAAAACCTTTTCGCTTTAGGCCTCCGCCGCCGTGTAAAAAAAAAAGGTTCAATCAATCAGTCAATTTCAACTTCTCGCGGGAAAAAAAAGATCTTGCAAAGTTGGAATTGATTGATTGAACTTTTTAGTCCCACTCAGTCTGCCGTTACCACCTCATCCACACCCACCCAATGGGCCACACCCACCCAATGGGCCACACCCACCTGGCACCCGACTATGCATGAGTGGGTTTTGGGTTGCAGTTTGGACACTCGGTCTCTAAAAGATTCACCATCACTGGTATATAGGGTGTCCTGCCTGAGCAGGGGGGGTTGGATTAGAAGACCTCCAAGGTCCCTTCCAACTCTGTTATTCCGTTATAAAGCTCTGTGTTGCCAAAACTCTGCCCCACTGCTCCTCTGCCCCACTGCATTTCCATCGGAGAGAGAGTGCAGAATGCAACATACTGTAGGTAATATAATCTGTGACATTCTTGTAGTCTCTTAAAGGTCATCTGCTGAGTCCAGTTTCTCCTTAATCAAAGTAAACATAAAATAGTAAAACTACTTGCCGAGTTACAGAAAGCAGTAGGTGGATCTTACTATATTTAATGTTGTAGATCGGTCTTTTTCATTCTGGTGTCTTATAGTTGTACTGAGGGGCACCAACTTGCCAATGACTGGTATATATACATCAAAATCAATACATGACAAATTTATTTATTAAATTTATATGCTACCCAGCTCACCATCAGGTGCTTCCGGGCAGAGAGAAGCCACATTATTCCAGCAAATGTAGAAAACACGACAAGGTAGAGCAGAAATTGTGATCCTTCTTTTACATTTCTAGCCAGCATAGTGAAGGAAAAGGAATGCTGGGAGCTGTAGTTTAGCAGCTTGAAGGGTAACAGGTTTAGTGTTCTAATTCTAAGTGGATTTTCTTAGGGCCTTTTTCCCATTGCTGATTTGAAATATTTTTCACCCACCTTTCGGTCAGCCAAAAACTACTGGCATGGATTCCAGTACTAGCTAACATTTTTTGCAGACTTCCATTATCAAGATCATCTTCAGATTTCTCATCTAAAATCCGAAGGTGAACCTCATTTTCTCACTCTCCTGCGTGCCCCTCTCTTGGCAGTTTGCTCCGGGGGGCGGACGAGATTGGTTTGCGGAAGCCTGTGAAGGCCGAATTTGGGGGTGGCATGCGCAGTTTCTCCTGCGAGGAAGATTACATCTATGAGAACATAGAAAATGAACTCTATTTTTTCACTTCTCAGGTGAGTCCTCTGGGGCAGGGAAAAGGAGAAAAATCTCCTAGCGCTGATGATGTTACCTAGTTTGGGTAGTGAAACGTTGACAAGAAAACAAGCAAGCTCAGAGAGCACCAGGGAACCCTCATGTCAACCCTGAGCTACAAATATTCTCCTTTATTAGAAAAATCTCCTTCCCTTTGGTTCTAGTTGCTGTTTGGTAGGAAATCCATTGTTTGTTAAAAACCTCTACAGACGATCCTGCAGGGTTGATCGAAAGATTTGCTGGGTCAGACAAACTCCGGGTTCCACAAAGATTTATTGTTTCAGTGATCTCAGGAAAGGAGGCAGAGACCTTTCCAATCTGTCCCCAAGGAGCTGTTTTTTATTAATAGTTTGCCACTCTGCACGGAGGCTCTGCAGAGTCCTTATAGCTAATGGCCCTCCATTTCTCTTTCTAACTCGGTTAATAAACAGGACTATGCGTTGCATTCATGTCCCCAAAGCTTTGGACGAGGCATCTGAAATCGCTGTGAACACTGCCCACAAATTGCAGTGTTTATTAAAGGCAAAGAGGGAGGATCATGTTGACAGGATTGTATTCATTTAGTGCGAAATTCAATGAAATTCAGTGGAAACGAAATCAAATGTCATTCAAGGTGAAGAATGCCTCATGGCTAGGCGTGTCATAATCCAGACTTCTGAATCTGGCAGCCTAATTAGCACAATATTTCAATTAGACTAATAGGCAAATTCACCCACTTTGCATTCATTGGATGCATTTTGAACACAAGAGAGCACACTGACACACCCTCCTCTGGCTCTCCCTTCTTACCCCATGAGCTCCATTTTTGGAGATCAAACGTTCTTCCTCCTTGTGGGATCCCGTGGGAGCATTCACTTAGCCCTTCATTGCCAAATGCTTTTGTTCATTTAGGGCAGTAGTCTCCAAACTTGGCAACTTTAATACTCGTGGACTTCAATTCCCAGAATACCTCAGCCAGCTGTGGTAGCTAGGGAATTCTGGGAGTTAGTTCACAAGTCTTAAAGTTGCCAAGTTTGGAGATCCCTGACTTAGAGCTTCCCTTTCTAACTCCTGCTATTTCATGTGCTGTGTACCAAAACAGGGTCAGTCTGGCTCACAGGGCACCCCTATCCAATGGCTCCCATAATTGCACTCTGCTGTTCCCAGCTACGGTAATAGCTTTTTAATGAAGAGAAGGACAAGGGGGGACATGATAGCAGTGTTCCAGTATTTCAGGGGCTGCCACAAAGAAGAGGGAGTCAAGCTATTCCCCAAGGCACCTGAAGGCAGGACAAGAAGCAACGGATGGAAACTAATCAAGGAGAGAAGCAACCTAGAACTAAGGAGAAACTTCCTGACAGAACAATTAACCAGTGGAACAACCTGCCTCCAGAAGCTGTGAATGCTCCAACACTGGACGTTTTTAAGAAGAGACGGGACAGCCATTTGTCTGAAATGGTATAGGGTTTCCTGCCTGAGCTGGGGGTTGGACTAGATAACCTCCAAGGTCCCTTCCAATTTTATTATTATTATTATTACATCTGCAGATCAGGTCTGCCTGCACAAAGCAGTATTTCCTGCACAGACAGCTTTGTTGAGTGGGGTTATTTTCTCAGTCCTGGAACAGTCTGTCTTTGCTTTGGATGGAGTCGTGTGTCCTGATTCACAGCCGGCTGGAACATTGTGGTCTAGTAGGAGAGAATTAATGGCTTTCAAGAGAGCTGTAGAGACCTGATCCAGCCATGGACATGGCTTTGAATGAGAGGCTGGTGGCCCAAACTCTTCATGGCTTTTCCCTCCTGCTTTCAGGAACGCCAAAACATCATCAGGTATTGGCTGGAGAACCTGCGGGCCAAGCAGGGTGAAGTGCTGCACAACATCCACTTCCTGGAAGGGCAGCCAATCAGTGAGTTGGGGATGGGGGCCAGCAGGTGGGAGGTGCTAAGTGCTGTGCCTCTGCCAGTTAAAACCAGAATTTATTTATTTTATTATTATTATTATTATTATTATTATTATTATTATTATTATTATTATTATTATTATTATTATTATTATTATTAATTATTATTATTATTATTATTATTATTATTATTATTATTATTATTATTATTATTATTATTATTATTATTATTTATTGAATTTATATACCGCCCTATCTCCCTTACGGGACTCAGGGCGGTGAACAGGCGATAATAAAAACCACGATAAATACACACAAGTTTCTGTTCTAAAATCAAATTAAATAACAGGCCTGCTCTAAAAATACCCCATACAAAACCCCCACTAAAACATAATCAAACTACGCCAGGCCGGCCGCACGGAATAGATGGGCCTTCAGGGCTCGGCGAAAGAGGCGCAGGTCCGCAACTGTACGTAGGTCGGGGGGGTAGGTCATTCCAGAGGGCAGGAGCTGCCACAGAGAAGGCTCTCCCCCTGGGGGTCGCCAGCCGGCATTGTCTGGCCGACGGCACCCTAAGGAGGCCCTCTCTGTGGGAGCGGACTGGTCGAAGGGAGGTGTTTGGTAGGAGGCGGTCTTGCAAACTTGCGGTTTTGCACAAGTTTCCATGCCATGCTGAATCTTCTCTGTGCCATGTCTTTCACACTTGCTCAGTGCTAGAAAAGTCTGATTTTAAAATTGAATATTTATATACCTCTTATTCAAATTTCTGTAGCCACCCATCTCATATGTATGACAACGAGCAGCTTACAAACAATTAAAACAAATATAAAAACAAAAAAAAGAACGATCTAACCCTTTAAAAATAGGAGGAAAATAACATAAAAGCATATTAAAACATGTTAAATTCATAAAAGGTACAGCCCATAGTATTCTTTTACTTACGACCATTCATTTTGCTATTGTTCGAAGTTATGTCCGGGTTGAAAAAAGCAACTTATGATCGTTCCTCACACTTAGCAATGTTGCAGCATCTCTTTGGTCACATGATGAAAATTTGGGTGCTTGGCAACCAGCATATATTTGCCATGGTTGCGACATCCCAGAGTCGATGATTATCAGCCAGCTTCTAACAAGCAAAGTCAATGGAGGAAGGCAGATTCGTTTAACACAGGGGTCCTCATACTTGGCCACTTTAAGACTTGTGGACTTCAACTCCCAGAATTCCCCAGCCAGCCATGCTGGCTGGGGAATTCTGGGAGTTGAAGTCCACAAGTCTTAAAGTGGCCAAGTTTGAGGACCCCTGGTTTAACAGATAACACGATTTATTTAACAGCCAGTGATTCGTTTCACGAACGCAGCAAAACAAAGGTTGTAAAACTGGGTGCAACTCACTTAATGACCGCCTCACTTAATGACAGAATGTCTGGTCTTAATTGCTGTCATAAATCGAGGATGACCTGTAATACCATTCATTAAAACAGTCAGTGCAGCCACTGGTCCCCATGCTGGTTGGTTAAACCATGTCTCTGAGACCTTGCAAAAAGCCAGAAAGGGATATAATGGCTGCCTCAAATTAAAAAAAAATAACTAATCTCATAAATCCAGGCATGCTCATGTCCATTAATTTGGATTGTCTTATCTGTGATTTATTTTAACACAGAGAGTGGTTGGATTGGGGTTAGCAGCTGGAATACTTGGGCCAAACCTGGCCCTTTGAAGGAAAAGTCTCAGGTCCTCCCCTGTCGACCTTGAAATAAAACTGCTGTAATTGGAATTTTATCTGAACATATTGGCTGAGACAGGCACCACTTCTTCCTTCCTTCCTAAGGGGCACCTTGTACATTGACTCATAGATCGAGACCATTTTTAAAAAGAACATTTAATATTCACCTGCCAAATTAGATGCTTTTGTTCCTTCCCTTCCCTGCCCCCAATTCCCATGTTCAAACCATCCCTGAAATGGATCCTGCTGAAAAGAATTTTAATCAAGTGAAAATTTAATTAGGGCAAAGTGTAGAATTGCAAGTGCAGGAGAATGAAGAAAATTAACAGAAGAACATTTATCTTTGCCTTCCTTCACCCCTGGACAGCTGAGACGTCATCTAAATATTTAATAGAAATCAAGTAATTACCAATTTCCCTGAATTGTAGCTCCTTGTGGGGTAGGGTGGGGTGGGGCCAGATGAGGGGGCTAGATAGCTTAAAGCAGGGCTTTTCAACCTTTTCACCCATTGTACCACTTTTAGGATATGGCAACATCCGAGTACCACCAGTTGCCTAGCAAGGTGTCAAAAACTTGATGACCCCCCCCAAAAAAGGAAAAAGTGATAAAGTACAGATAGTCCTCGACTTACAACAGTTCGCTTAGTGACTGTTCGAAGTTACAATGGCACTGAAAAAAGTGCCCCCCAAGCCACAGCCGAGCAAGACACCTGCCTGCCCACCCAGCGGCGCTCTTCCTCCTGTCCGAGGTTTCCATTGTTGTGAGCATTTCTGTTGAGGATTGGCAGCAGGGGTGGGGTGGGGGGGTTGATGGTTTTTATTCCCCCCATCTGCTGGGTGGTTGCAGCAGGTTTTGGTCACTTCACATGACCCTGGGACACTGTGACCGTCATAAATATGAATCAGTTGCCACGCATCTGAATGTAAATCACAAGACCCTGGAGATAAGGCAACATTCCAGCTGATTGGTGCTTCTTTGAGGCTCAGCAGAAGCACCAGGATTAGCGCCGAGCTCCAGCTGGAGCCTGGCGCTGATCCTGGCGCTTCCACTGAGCCCTGACAGCCCCGAAGAAGCGCCGATCAGCTGGAAAGCGTCACTGATCCTGGCGCTTCCGCTGAGCCCTGACAGCCCTGCAGCTCCAGCCGTCTCTCGCTCAGGCTTGTGCGGTGCTGCCACCGGTTCAGCTCATTCCCCTCCCCCACTACCACTTTTCTGGGATGGTCACGTACCACCTGCCAGGCGCCAATGTACCACAGGTGGTACCTGTACCACTGGTTGAAAAGCCCTGGCTTAAAGCACCCTTGTCTTAGAAAGACGAGGATGCTGTAAAGTCAGAGAAGGTAAAGTCTTTCAATGGCTGGAAATGATGGTTACAGTACAGATAGTCCTTGACTTACAGTCATTCATTTAGCGACTCTTTGAAGTTATAACAGTACTGGAAAAAAGTGACTTACAACCAGTCCTTGCTCTTATGACCATTGCAGCATTCCCATCAGAATTTGGATGCTTAGCAACAGGCATGTAGACAAGATGGTTGCAGCATCCAGGGCTCGCCATTTGTGACCTTCCCAGCTGGCTTCCAACAAGAGAAGTCAGTGGGGGAACCTGGATTAACTTAACGGCCACATGATTCACTTAACAACTGCAGTGATTCATTTAACAACAGGGGCAGGAAAAATTGGGTGCTACTCACTTAACAACTGCCTTCCTCAGCAATGGAAATTCTAATCCCAGTTGTGATCGTAAGTTGAGGACCATCTGTATTTGCACATCAGAAAACCAAAGAGATAGCACCAAAGAGAAAGAAATTGCACAGGAATCGTACCTAGTTCAAAAATAGAAATGAAATAAATGTGAGGGATGAATGTGAGGAGGAATAATAAAGATATGTTGGTTATTGTATGAGGCCTAAGCATTAGGTCCCACACATGTTATTTTAGTCTATCTTAATCATTGCTGTCAAAAGCATCAAGGCACATAAAAAGAGGAGCTTTGTTCATCCTGACTTTTTTCACCATGCTGTGCAGACACCCTGATCACTATAATAATATATTCTAAACATATATTAATATGCACTTGAAAGGAAGATGAGGTTGAATTTAAAACAGTCACTCTCTAAAAGAGATTAAGAGGGGGGAAAAAACCTGTTTATCCTTCCAAAAGCCACACAATTTAATCCTATGCTGCTATCGTTTAGAAAATCCCTTAACATTTATCACATAGAGCAGATCATGGTGGAAAGCAATTTTATCACCCCATGCTGATTCTGGACTGTTATTCCTTGGTTCTTGGTATTTCCTTTTCCAATATAGTAATATATCCATTGTTTTTCGCTGTTTGTCACTGTTTCCTGCTTGTTTTATTGTTCTAATAAGTTGCATGACATCTAGATTGGTTCTGTTGATTGAGGTAGTTTATAAACTGAACAAAGGAAATTTAGATAAATATTTATTCATGATCTGTTTGAGGGCCATAACACACCACATGTTTATTATTCTTTTCTCTCTCTCTCTCTCTCTCTCTCTCTCTCTCTCTCTCTCTCTCTCTCTCTCTCTTTGTTTTTTGCATTTTGAGTTCAGTTGTTCCTCTTTCATATTGTGGTATTTAAACAGAGCAAGCTCAAATTGTATTGATTGTCCTCATGCACCAAATGATCAAGCTTGTCTTTAGGTCTGACTTGAGCATAATTAGAAAATAAAAAGAGTAAGCTGGCTTAGTCTCTTGTTTGAAAGAGTTTACACCTGTAAGGCAAACAAAACATAGGCAAAACAGGACAATCCAGAACCCTCTGAGGGCAGGAAGAGGAACTATAGTGAGGAACAGCCTCACTGTTTACCTTCTAGTAAATAATTGCTATTTTATAAATAGACCAAAACAGAAACACCCACAGCCATTGTAGTTCCTTGAGGTTAAAGCTCATGGCGCATTCTCAACAGTCTGAATGGGCCTTCCACCTCAAAAGGCTGCCCCCTTCATGCTCTGGAGCAGTGGTTCTCAACCTTTTTAATGCCGCGACCCCAACCAGTCATAAGTCGAGGACTAAACCGGTCGTAAGTCGAGGACTAAACCGGTCGTAAGTCAAGGACTTTCCCTGCCCGGGAGCGCCGCGTATGCGTGGTTCCGCCCCCTGCGCTAGCCGAGGCATAGCTGGCAAGCGGCAGAGACGGAGCAGGCCGACCACCAGCTGGCCCAGCCCAAGGGAGGTAAGGCACCTGCCGGAAAAGGGGAAAAAAATGGCGGACAGCCTTGCTTGGCGACCCCCGTGAAATGGTCGATCGACCCCAAATGGGGTCGCGACCCATAGGTTGAGAACTGCTGCTCTGGAGTGTATTTCCAGATTCAGTCTGTTTTGTGGCCTATTGCTAGAACAGTGGCTAGCTGCCCAGGGACATGCTTGACCATGGTAGTGTCAAAGAATGGGGTCCAGGGGTCTATGGTTAGTGTGGAGAGCTAAAAAAAAGAGATTTCTGGATCTTTGCTCTGCTCTGTTCTTCTTCTTTTCACAGTCCCTGAGCTGGCTGCTCGTGGTATCCTCCAGCAAGTCTTCCCCATCCACGAGCAACGGATTCTGAACCGGCTGATGAAATCATGGGTACAAGCCATTTGTGAAGCCCAGCCTTTGGGTATGGCCTTTTGATTCACATAGGTCCCTGCCTAGAACATTTACCTCCACGCTTCTATTTTTTTTTTCCTCACTGCATTCCACTAAAGTAGCTCACGGGATTTGTTTTGCTTTATTAGAATTGAAAATTAATGCTCTTTTTTTCCCCATTTGAAATCATAATCTGCCTTTTGCTTGCCCAGCACAAAAGTCCTGACTCTCTAATATGATCTGAACCTAATCATTTATTTCATGCTGAGTCAGATCAGTATAAGCCAGTGTTTCTCAACCTTGACAATTTTAAGGCATGTGGACTTCAACTCCCAGAATTCCACAGCCAGCATTGCTGGCTGTGGAATTCTGGGAGTTGAAGTCCACATGCCTTAAAATTGTCAAGGTTGAGAAACACTGGTACTATAAGCATTTTATGTGCAGATTTGCACTAAGTTCAGATCTGTTATAACCCAGGCAAACACAAGATGGCAGTAAAGGATTATTTTTCTGGATCTTTTTGCCGCCATCTATTGGTTATACAGATCTTGCAATTCAAATACATAGGTAATACAGTAGCAGTAGCAGTTGACAGCTAGAAGTTGCACATCATTTTCTAAGTGTGTGGAGTGGCTTTCGTACTAAATATGAAAAAAGATACTCAGTGGAAGTGAAATAAACTGCGTATGATGGGGGAGGGAAATGTTGGAAGTTAATTATTACTGCAAAAGACGAGGAAGAAAGATGGACAGAGAGAAAAAAGTAGTTGAAAAAGAACAATCAAAGAATAAAGACTGGAAGACTGAAAAGTCCCAGGGTATTAGAAAAAGTTAGGAAAGTGAATGGAGATATGATTGATGGGTTGACAGTCACTTAGATCTGGTATGGATTACCTGACAGCTGAGGGAAAAGGTCATTCTTGTTCCTTGTCCCTTTGTCATATTAATGAAATGTAATTTGTTCTTTGACTGAACTGAGAGATCTCTGTAGTAGCACAGTTTCAGGAAAGAGTGATCTTGTCTTTTCTTTCATGTTTTGTCCTTCTGTTCTCCTGAAACTGTCCCTCTTCTTCCACCAGATGAAATATGTGACTATTTTGGGGTGAAGATTGCCATGTACTTCGCATGGCTGGGCTTCTACACGTCAGCCATGGTGTACCCTGCTGTGTTTGGCTCCCTCCTCTACACCTTCACAGAGAATGATCAGGTGAGGCGTTGGAGTACAGAGCGATGGCATGGTGGCCTTCTGGATTTGTCCTACTTCTGTCTGAAGAAGCTGAGAATCAGATTTCTGGTAGGCCTATGTACTGTATATGCGGCAGTCATCTTCATTCTTTCTGTTTTTTCATACTTCATTACTTTTTTCCTTCCTTCTCTACGTCTCTATCAAATAATAGCAGTTAAGCTATAGGACAGTGATGGCAAACCTTTTAGAGACCGAGTGCCCAAAAACTGGCCCCGTCCCCGCTCTGCCCCCACCCCGTTTTCCACCCCACCTGCCCGCAGAGCCACTCACTGCTTCCAGGGCCCACCGCAGATTGCCCAGGCAGCCCAGCAGTGCCATGTCGGCCATGCCCTCTGCCCGCACCCCACAGCATCAACTGTGCGGGATGGGGCATGAGGACAGAGTCTTGTCTACGCTGCCTGGCTGCCATGTCCTTGGCTGCCCTGCTCCGTGTGGGCCACGCTTGGGGGTTGTGGGGGGAGGCGAGGCTGGGGCAACGGCACGTGTGCCCACAGAGAGGGCTCCGAGTGCTGCCTCTGGCATGCGTGCCATAGGTTCGCCACCACTGCTATAGGATATTTGGCACCTTAGACCCCAATATCCATTAGAAGCCCCTTAAATACCTTGTGAACTGTGAAATATAAAGTTTGAAATATTAGATATTTTGAAACAGCTAAATATTTCAAATATTAATATATATTTGAAATAGTCAATATTGTTGGGGTACAAGCCAAATATCCTACAGCTTAATTGTTATTATTGATAGAGATGAAGAGAAGGAAGGAAAAAAGTAATGAAGTGAGGAAAAACGAGAAAGAATGAAGATTACTGATGTATATACATAGCTGGAGAAGACTCCTGCGAGTCCCTTGGACTGCAAGGCGTTCAAACCGGTCAGTCCTAGAGGAGATCAACCCCGACTGCTCTTTAGAAGGCCAGATCCTGAAGTTGAAACTCAAATACTTTGGCCATCTAATGAGAAGGAAGGACTCACTGGAGAAGGGCCTAATGCTGGGAAAGATTGAGGGCAACAGAAGAAGGGGACGACAGAGAATGATGTGGCTGGATGGAGTCACTGAAGCAGTAGGTGTGAACTTAAATGGACTCCAGAAGATGGTAGAGGACAGGAAGACCTGGAGGAACGTTGTCCATGGGGTCGCAATGGGTCGGACATGACTTCGCAATTAACAACAACAACAATACATAGCTTCTTTGGACAGAGGTAGAACAAATTCAGTGGCATCTATCACAAGGAAATACACATAGAAATATACTTATATTATCACCATTGATTTGCCTTAGAATTCAGGGATTGTTTTCATGTGTGAATGAAGAGCAGCAGGAGGAGACAGAAAAGCTGGATGTTGAGGATAAATGGAAGGCTGGGTGGAAAAGGGAAAGGAAGAAGAAGCAGGGCTGTTTATGAGAATGAGAGAGCCAGAATCATATAATAACAGAGTTGGAAGGGACCTAGGAGATCTTCTAGTCCAACCCCCTCTTCAAGCAGGAGACTCTGTACCATTTCAGACAAATGGCTGTCCAGTCTTTTTTTTTGAAAGCCTCCAATGAAGCACCCATGACCTCTGAAGACAAGCTGTTCCATTGGTTGATTGCTCTCACCTTTAGCAAATTTCTCCTTAGTTCTAGGTTGCTTCTCTCCAGAGTTAGTTTCCATCCATTGTTTCTTGTCTTGCCTTTTGGTCTTTTGGAAAATAGTTTGACTCCTCATTTTTGTAGGAGCCCCTCAAATGTTGGAACACTGCCATGTCTCCCCTAGTCCTTCTTTTCTCTAGATTAGACATACCCAATTCCCGTAACCGTTCTTCATGTGTTTTAGCCTCCAACCCCCTAATCATTCTTGTTGCCCTTCTCTCCACTCTTTCCAGAGTCTCAACAGCTTTTTTATATTGTGGTGACCAGAACTGGATGTGGTATTCCAAGTGTGGTCTTGTGGCTATGGAAGGTTGTTTGGGGTTTGGCATCCTGAAAGGGAGCAGATTATGTGGAAGAGTTTGAAAAACAAAAGCCCTTTAAGTATTTAGGGGGAAAGAGGGCAGAGAGAAGAAAAGGATAAGAAAATGCTGATCTACAGCATAGGTGGATAGCTGTGAGCCACATGCAATCCCTAAAACTATTTTTACAGCCCCCCCTACCCTTTGACATCCAGTTCCCCTCCCTCTTTGCTACCAATGAGGTCCATGCAGATGAAATTGTAAAGGATGGGGGAAACGCTGGAGGCAGGGAGAACAGACAGGCTCCCCTTCAAAGGTTTGACGCTGCCTAAAATTGCCATATTCACCGGTCTATGGTAGAATCTAAATGCATGCAGGCAAGTGGTGGGAAGGATGGAGCAGGAACTCATCTTTGTGTCTATATTTTATTTCTATGCCAGTGTTTCTCAACCGTGGCAACTTTTAAGGTGCAAGTAGTCCTCCGCTTACAATCACAATTGGGACTAGAACTTCTCTGGCTTAGCAAGACGGTCATTAAATGAGTCACACCCAATTTGATGGGGTTTTTTTCCTTACTGTGTTCCTTAAGCAAATCATTGCGGTCATTAAGTGAATCATACAGTCATTAATCAAGTTCTGCTTTCCTCATTGCCTTTACTTGTTGGAAGCCAGCTGGGAAGGTGGCAGATGGTGATAATGTGACCCCGGGACTCTGCAACCATTATAAATACCTGCTGGTTGCCAAATAACAACAATAACAATAATAACAACAATAATAACAATAACAAATAGAAATAGAACGACTGTGGCAAAGGTAAGCAAGGGTAGTACCAATAGTAATAGGGGCCTTGGGTGCAATCCCAAAACAACTGGAGCACCACTTGAACACCATTGGCATTGACAAATTCGCCATTAGTCAATTGCAAAAGGCGGCCTTACTAGGAACTGCTTCCATCCTGCGACGATATCTGTAATACCATCAAACATCCACATCTGCCTATCCCAGGTCCTGGGTAAGGACTTGATAGGCAGACAAAATGCCAAATCCAGTCTGAATATCTGGCTGACTATGCAATGATCAATAACAATAATAATAATAAAAAAGTTGGAAGGGACCTTGGAGGTCATCTAGTCCAACCCCCTGCTCAGGCAGGAAACCCTATACCATTTCAGACAAATGGCTATCCAGTCTCTTCTTAAAAACTTCCAGTGTTGGAGCATTCACAGCTTCTGGAGGCAGGTTGTTCCACTGATTAATTGTTCTAACTGTCAGGAAATTGACAGTGCTCGGAGTTCTGGTCCCATGACCCCAGGGATGCTGCAACAATTCTGAGTGTGAAGACCATTTGTAAGTGTGAGGACACTATATACAGGGCTTTTTTTCAGCCGGAACGCGGCGGAACCGCGTTCCGGCACCTTTTTCCGGGCCGGCCGCACCGGAAATAGCCCCTCCCACACCGGAAATAGCCCCTCCCAAATTTTACTTGCATTCCTGTTCTCTAAAGGGGCGGTCCTAGGGTTTGATGAGGGCGTGGCCAGGTTTGAGTTCCGCCACCTTTTCTC